TATACTCGAAGTAATCGTGCTCAGCAGGTGTGCAGGATTGGGTGACAGGGCTTAGCGCATGGGTGGAGGAAAGGATGATCATATCGAGTCTGTCTGCGTCTCTTCTTGTTCATTCTGGAGTCTCGGTGGGGAGGTGGCACAAGCGGCAGATTACTGCTTGATTGGTGGCTCGGGAAGCACATCCCTGCGCCCGAGGCCTGGGCAGGAACAAAGAAGGACATGAGATGGAAGAGAACAGGAGTAAATACAGCACATGAAGGTTGTGGACGGCTGGTCAATCTCCCTCCCACTCAGATGGTGACTTGTCTCGGTGCAGCCGCCAAGCCACCAGAGACTGCGACTTTTGTCGATGCAGCCACTTTGATCAAGACGGTTCAGCATGTTGGTTCAATCAACAGCCTAATAGATTGATTGCATCTTAGCGTTGATGCTACAATTCAAGCACCAATGCCCAAGGCCTTTGTTTGTCCCTCGACGTCGGCTCGAGCGAGAGAGTCGCACTCAACCCGCGCTGCACCACCTCCTCACCCGGCAACCCAATCGTCGAGCTCAATCATGCATAAGTCTGTCGCCCTGGATGTGCGCCTCGTCGCTAAGTCCTTACTGAAAGGTACCTAGTCGATCATTTTGGGCGGGAGGAGATGGCGTGTCTTTGCTTCCTAGCGCCCTTCGGTTACAGGAAGAGCGACGAGCGGCTGCGGCTTCAACTGCTATCGTGACCTACTCTGTTATCTGCGCCAGTTCCGGCCATGGGCTAGACAAAGAAGCGAAACAGTCTCCAGGACTCTCCAGTTTTCAGCCTCACAATTCACTCCGTTGGAGCCAGTCCCCACCGTCATGCCGCTGAATCCACCTTTGCCAGTATCAGATCCCCTCAACCTTGAGAGATCGACCTCAGTCGTGTTTTGAATGTTAACGCTTGAAAGACAGCGTCGTTGCTCGCAATGGATGGGGACGAACATGCGCTTTTTCACCCGCGACGGTCTTTTCGACGCCAGAACTCGTCGCTGATGCCGGAAAACAGCTACGAACGAGCGCCACAGGATGATCATGAGTTCCAGGATCTTGCCCCTTCATCGGAATGGAGGGAAGAGCCTGTCGTCGGATTGAACATCTCGGGCTTGTCGAAGCTAGTCAAGCGTGTTCCGGTGGGTTCCAAAGGACAGTCTTTCACGAGTACAGATGCTTCCAAGAGCACGGTTGCCGCGCCAGACTCGATCGTGTTGGGCCCAAGTCGCAGCACTCCTTACCAAAATACCTCTTCCCCCGAAGAAGATGCGAAATCGTTCAGGTCGGGCCGATCGTCGTACAGCCGACTCAATCAACAAACCTCACAAGACTTCTCTCCAGAAGTCGGACTATTGCCTAATCACACTAGGGTTGATGAGAACTGTCCAACGCATGGCGACATCTTGACAAGCCCGTGGTCGTGGTGGACTATATCAATAGTAGCCCTCGCAGTTTACTCGACCATCTTCTCGGGCGTCTTCCTCGGTATCGCATTTGCAAAACCTCGATGGGGCCAACGGATCGGCACCAACGGACACCTCTCCTTTGGGAACGCCACTCTTCTCTCTGCTCTGCTATCTAAGACGGTCGAGTTATCCTTTGTCACCATTTTCGTGGCGCTGCTTGGTCAGATATTGAGTCGTCGCGCATTTGCAAAGACGGAGAAGAACAGTGGCATCAGCATCGCAGAGATGACCATGAGGTCGTGGGTCATGCAACCGGGAACACTCATCACGAACTGGATAGTGGTCAGATATGCTGCCTCGACTATCCTCGGCATCATGGTGCTCATCGCCGTGTTGGCCGCGACCTTCTACACCACCGCCGCCGAAGCATTGGTGGCGCCCAAGCCAAAGTTTGGGCCTTTGGAAGATCGAACGCTTTGGGGTCAAGTGGCAGCTTCTTACGCCAACTCGATCTATCTAGCTCAAAGCTGTGAAACGCCTGTTCAAGAGGACCCTGACCCCGATGGCGTCGGTCCGCATCCCGAAGGCGATACATGTCTGCAGATCGACTATGCAGGACAGAGCTTTCACAACTTCAAATCATTCATGTCGGACTGGCGCGAGAGGCTCAACGTCGGAAATCTGAGCTTGGACCAAAGTTCGATCAGTAGTCGCCCTGCACCAGTCGCAACATTGTTCGACAACACCACGGTCCAGGGGCAATGGATCACTCCCAGCAATGAGAGTATCCTGGCCGACTCGGAGAAGTGGTCCAGACTCGTGCAAAATGTTACACTAGCGATGCCCCATGCGAATCTATTCAACGCTGCGCGCGACCCCAGAAACCGGATCCTGCAGCCCGAGGATCTCCAGGGCAACGGGGAGTACTTCATTCAGGCTGCGATACCGGCGCCTCTGATCAATGTCTTGTGTGTGGGTATGTCGACAGCTGAGCTGGAACCTATGGTCGTCAACGTGTCGAACATTGAGGACCCAAGCACATATTTCCCGCATCCCACTGCTGTCGACGATATATTCAACTTCGGATCAGCCACGGACACAACCGAGGGCGTCCAGCAAGCGCCCATTTTTCCCAAGTTGCCCATCGACTACAACACGCTAGGGTTCATCTCCAGCAAATGGGGATACTATGCCATTTATCTCCTGGTGGCGCCTCCGCCAGTGGACAAAAGAAGCTATGTGACCGACGATTATGTCTTGTGCTCCATCAAGTCTGCTCAGTACCGCAACTGCACCACATACTATCGTGTCGCCCAGTCCGGTGGCCAGCTGTCGGTCGAGTGCGACAAAAGTCGTGGAAACACTCTACCCTATGTGCACGCAGTCAAAGATGCGCCGATTGGGGACTGGGTCGCGGATTGGAAAGACGTCGGCTCGGAATGGCTTCGGTCACTGTCGCTGACTGCGGGAGTCAACGACGCCAATGCTTCGAGTGCTCGCCTGCTCAGCCAGATGATCCCTGCATATTCCGCAGGCACCCCCACGGTGCTGACTTCCAACATGCCCACGATTGGCGAGGCCGTGGCGGTGCTGGCGGGGGAAACGGCGCTCTTGTCGTCGTCGAATGCGCCCTTTGTGCACTTCTGGAACTACTCGGTCGCCGTGCTCGACGAACCGCAGTACCAGAACTTCAAGGCGCGGGTCAGCTATAAGGACTACGCGTCGGGGGGCACGCAGACGTGGCAGAATGTCTTCTACGTCATCCTCGTGGCCGTGTTCCTGCTGAGCAGCTTCAGCCTCGTCTACCTGTTATGGACGTTCTGCCTGCTCGGCCGCGTGACCGACTACACGGAGCCGCAGAACATGTTTGCCCTGGCCATCAACTCGCCGCCCTCCAACACCATGTCAGGCACCTGTGGCGCGGGTCCCAGCGGCGTCCTCCTAGCCAAGAAGTGGCAGGTCGACATGCAGAAAGGAGGGGCCAGCCCGACGGATCGTAGCCAGCACCCACATTTCTACGTGCGGTGTCGAGAGGACGGCGTGGCAGTCAACTCGAGCCTACGGAGGAAGCGGCGCAGCAGGCCACCGACGATCAGTTCTTTTACCGTTTCCGAGTCGCCGGCCGTGGAGCAGTATATGCGGCTGGCTGGGAAGGGTTGAGTCTGCATGCACGAGGAAACCAGGCAAGGCAGCAAAAGCGTGATTGTGTCGATACAACGGTGTGGTCAGGACGTGGTAGTGATAATGTAATTTCTTTCTCTCCACCAGTCTTTTGTTCACTATGTGTCTCCTCGATTTGCCTGACAGCTTCAAGAGAATGTCAGGGAACGGACTATGGTTGCAAACCCTTTCGTCGGCCATTCTCCATCCCATTGCCTCGTCACGCCGCAGCTGAGGTCGGTCTTGTCCATTACGACCTCATATACTCGGTAGTTGTGTGACTTTTTTCTTTCTCCCCCTATCTGGACCATCCCGGGACATCACACCACTCAGTCTATGTGAAGATGTCCTCTAAGCCACGGAGACCTTGACCTTGTTCGTATCTAAAAGCGACACCGTTCAGTATTTCATCTCCCCATACACACTCACCATCTAACAAAGCCAGACAGCGCAAGGAAAGGAAAGGAACTTACAAAACGCGACATGATCCTTGATATGCGCAGCCTTGTCCTTCGGCGCGGGATAATACCACGCGGCGTCCCTGATCGTCTGTCCCCCCACCGTGACGTCGTAGTAACTGGCCCGCCCTTTCCAGGGACACGTCGAGTGCGTGGCCGACGTGGCCACGGGCACGGAGAGCGACGACGGCGGGAAATACACGTTTCCTTCGACGGTGTGGTAGGTCGAGGAGGAGGCGATGACGGTGTCGCCGACGCGGGCCGTTGCGGTGGGCATTTTCTCCTGTTGTCCGGTAGGTAGTTCTTGTGAGATGTGGAGAAGAGTGTTGGTGGTGGTGGTGGTGGAAATATATATATACCGAGGACACGATGGATTTTATTTACTGGTTGTGAATACGATCGGAAAGGGGACTTGTATATGTATATGTGTATGTATTTATAGGAATCATTTCCATGCGAACTATAGTCGGTACCGTATGCCTGATCATTTTTGTAGGAGAGGGGGCGAGGCTGCACGATTAGGAAGCATTGTAGGTACCTACGTCACGGACTGTGGAGGACGCCTGACTGACTGACTGGCTGGCTGACTGGCTGAGCATTAGAGTAGGTTCTAATAGGTCATTACTTGTAGGGGCCGCTATAAGGTCGCGATTAGGAATCAACCTTTTAGGCTTGGGGCGCCTGGACCAGGTACGGAACACTATACCTCGTACTTGTACCTGTTCTTGTACCTGTACTTGCTTGTACGTTGGGAGCATTGTCTTATGGCCCGAGTATGCTTAACTAGGTACCTACCGAGGTACATGCTAGATTCCTCGATTTTTCATTGCGACAAACCCTCGTCTACACAAATATCCCGAGTACATTCCTCAGCCAGGAGAATCTCAATTACGAATACACCTCTTGACACTAAGCACTAAGCCAACCCGAGGATCTCACCACCCTCCCCACCCCCGCTCCCCCCACAATGCCCAACGTGCTCCCAAAACATCCACAGACCTCATGGAACGACATTACCGAATACGCTCACGCGCTCGAGACAAGGGCCGACCCGCAAGGACTTTGCAACCCCAGCCGCGCATGTCAGGCTGGGAAGAAAGTCTCCTCGAACATGCCTGGTCTCCTCTACCCGTGCCATGAATGGCACGTTTCTCAACGAGCTCATCACGCGGCGTATTGGACAACCATCGAGGCTGAACCGGCCCTGAAGACTAGCATCGTGCTCCCGTCCCTGGCCCTGACGATCATTGCCACAATGGCCCGGGCTGAGGCCTTTGGCTCGCGTATAAAAACATGATAACACATTCTCTGTGGTATCAGTAACGCGTATTGCGAATGCCTGACCCAAAATTTGGACTCAGAGATACGAACGAGTTCTCGGAGAGACTCGGTTCTCTCGACTGGGCATTTCTACGACTCGTGGACTCACCCGCCGAGGTCAGTATTTACAAGGCATCAGAAAACGATATGTTTGCTTTTGAAGTCCTTTCGCATATCCCCGTGGTGATCAAGAGAAAGCCGCTTAGTTCATCGATCCCAATCTGACGAGAGCGCAAAATGGCACACGTCTATAATCTCAACCAGGTCGCAATCTCGGTGCCCGACCTCGACAAGGCGATCGATTTCTACACCGAGCTCTTTGGACTCCACGTCATTGGCAAGATGGACGAAGAGCAGATGAAACATCTCGCCCCGGGTCACTCGATAAATCAAAGTGAATTATACCCAGATCCCTACGTCGTTCCTGAACCAGGGGAGTCCTGGCTAGCCTAGCCTAGCCCAACAACCACGCCTCCCTCTTTCCTCTTCCCCTCTTCTCACGTAGACGATATCTAGCTAACTAACTCGACTCGACGACAGTGTACGGCCCCGAAATCAAGAAATTCAAAGTCGCTTTCCTCGTCACGGGCAACAGCGTCGGGTTCGAAGTGTTCCAGTTCATCGACCCGCCATACCAGGGCCCGACGGAGGTGCCCCCCAGATTCGGCCCGCAGGAATACACCCGTGGCGGGTTCTTCCACGTCGGCTTCACCGTCGAGGACCCGGAGGCCATCCTGGCCAAAGCGGTCAAGCTCGGCGCCCGGCAGATTGGCCAGATGACGCGGCCGACGCCGAACCTGAGCGGCACGTACATGTACGATCCGTGGGGGAACGTCGTCGAGTTGATTAGTGCGGACTTTCAGCAGCTGTTTTTGCAGATGCTGGCGAAGAGTGGGGGTTGATAATGGTATGGCCGTGACTAGCAAATTTGTGGTGTGGTTCTCAGTCTAGATTGAGTTGAGTTGAGTTGGCAATACTCGTAGATACATAAAGTGGGTAGGATGACAGACCACACCCCCGACCTACTAGTATGTACATGGGGCTTAATGCAAAATGCACGATTCCGTCAACATTGCTATCAGGTATTCCATGGTCATGCGAAAAGCCGCCCATACACGGATCAGGCGTGGAACCATGGAATGGGGCCGATTATGTCAACAGTCGACAAGGATCTCGAGCTAACACCACCCTCACGGAATAAAGTGAGAGGGACGAGAGGCATGATGTGGGCCTCTCGGACAGAATAAGATAAATGACATGGCATTGCTGAATGGTATACTCGGAGGAGCAATCGAGACGCATGGGACCAGGACAAGGACGATGGACAGTGTTCATATCTGATAACCCCATTGAGGTCAACACTTACACAAGTACCTAGGCATCTAGGTATTCGTGCTGCTATACCACTATCGTTCTGCCTCAACGCTTCTTCCTCGCACTAAAAGATTTCAACGGGTCAACCTTCCCCTTGGCTCTGCCGCCGAATCGCGTCTTGCGCCCTCCTCGCTTCTTGCTGTCTTTCCGCTTATTGTCTCCTCTCAACCCCACAAACCCGACTTCATCAGCACTCAGGCCCTTCCGCCCCGCTGCCGGCATCAAATATTCCGGGACGTGTTTCAAGTGTCCCTGATGTCTGACAATCGCACCATGTTCCCCGTCATGTCGCAGGTGTCGCAGGTCTTCCGGGTTCTCCTCGAAATGCCTGCGTAGTTTTTCCGATTTGATCAGCTCTTGTTTGATCTCCTTAGCACGGGCCTCGTGTACCGCAGCTCCAGTCACGGCACGCAGGGCATCGTTCATGCGATACCGAAAGGCATCCACCTGTGCCATGTCGAAATGGTAAGGCTTCACTTCATTGCCCTTCTTGGTCTGTCGGGCGATGATCTTCTCCAGAACACGTTCGTCATTCTTCGCCGAAGGAATGCTGGTCGCGCGGTGTTTGCCAAACTTGTCCTTGGGCACCACAAAGGACAAGGCCATTCCTGCCTTGCCCGCTCGCGCTGTGCGGCCAATACGGTGTGTGTAGGACTTGGACGTCAGAGGGAGGTCGAAGTTCATCACGCAGGCAACGTTCTGAAAGTCAATGCCCCTTGAAACTCCATAGTCCTTTTCATGTTTCTTGGACTGTCTGGCTTTCTTGGCCGGTCGTTGTACTTCCTCCTCGTCCTCCTCACTCATCTCATTGGCTGGATCTTCTGCGACCTGCGCCTCGGTCTTGCGCCTCTTCATAACGCCGCCAAGCACCTCTTGATCGTCTGCTGCGATAAGGATGTCGTAGAGCCCTTTGTTGAACTCCTGAACCACATGCAACCGAGAGTTGACCGGCAATTCGGCGTTCAGCACACATGACTTGATCCCGAACTGCTCCAGATAGAGCTTAAGCCGATAACTTCTGTCAACGTCGGCCACGAACACTAAGCACTTTCCCTTAACGAGGCGCAATTTAAACAGAACGTAAATGAGCAAGAACTTCTCGTCCTCTCCGCACTTTACCACATACTGGGTCACTCCCTCGCCCTTCTCTTCCTTCTCATCGATCCTGACCAGTACCGCATCGCGACAGAATATGCTCTTCAACTCTTCGACCTCGGGCGTGAGGGTGGCGCTGACCAGGAATGTCTGCACACCGCGGGGGAGGGCCGCAGCGATTACGTTGATATCTTCTTCATAGCCGTAGGAGAGTACGATATCAGCTTCGTCGATGACAAGTTGCTGGATATTTTCGAGAGACAGTGTGCCCGAGGTGAGATATTGAGTCGCTCTTCCAGGAGTGGTCACAATAACATCGGGGAAATCTTGTAGCACTGCATTCATGACCGTGTCCGACACCCTTTGTGTCAAATTCAATGTCTGCACATCTTTCGAGCAGAACGCCGCAAAGGCATTGAAGGCTCTGCAGACTTGATCCGCCAATTCTCTCGTGGGCACCAGAACAAGGGCAGAGGTGACCTTGGTGTTGAGGGAGGAGGATTTTCGGCGCAGGATCGCTTGCAGGGTCGGGAGGACGTAGGCGGCGGTTTTTCCGGAACCTGTCTTGGATTTGGCAAGTACGTCTTTACCCTCGAGTGCTAGGGGAATGGCCTTTGCCTGCACGGGTGTAGGGTTGGAGAAGTCTGATTTTGCAATGGCTTGCACGAGGCGAGGGTCGAGGCCGAACGAGTCGAACGATACCTCGTCTTCCGCAGAATCTCGAGGGACCTCGACTGTTGGGGCATCATTGGCGTCCAATTTTCGCTTCATGACGGTAAATGTGAACCCAAGAGTGAGAGGAAGCGTTGCTTTACCAGAAATGTAGTATGGTATTGCACACTCCGCAATTTTGCCAGAAACTTTTTGCACGAGCGGCTAAACATCGGCACTGATTGACCTGCTGGATTATCCGCACAAGGCTGAATAAAAGCCTCGTCCCGGTTTTTACTTGTCTTCCAACCTTTCCCACCTGGTGCCACCTGCTCTGTGGACAGAAAAAGATTTTACGTGATTAGCGCACCCGAAGATTCGAAGAGATAAGTATCTGACACTATTGGCTCAGCGGTGTACACACGGCCATCATATCGTCTAACGGATTTATATTGATAGACTGTGAGGTAAACAGCATTAAATAGTTCTCTGCTTGTGGCGAGCGCCTATCCGATGCCATGTCACTCGAAATAAGGGATGCCCCTGGTGATTTCCACAGAGAGTTGATGGATGTTGCGTTATACATACGAAGCACCGAGTTTGCAGATGAGCAAGATCACCGCCTTACTGCATCAAGCTAGTTTCCAATCCACACACACGGTCGCTATTTCAGGTCAACCATCACGGCAAATGTTCCGTAAAAAGAGCCCAATGTGCACCCGGTATGACGTGGGGCAGGGCACTAAGAGATAACGTCTTTTTGTAGCCTCCAACATCTTTTTCCTTTCCGACATCTCTTTGCCTTATTTAACTTTCCTGCACTCAAGTTTCGAGCCTGGTTGTAAAAACCGTAACACAGATCCTCCTCTACGTCGCTCAAAGTGTTTCGCCGTCTGCTCGCCATCATAGGTCGACGACGTCGTGAGCGCCATCCCCAACCACGTGCGGGGCGCGGGAACATCTTCAAGATGGGCAACGAATCCTCCACCCCAATTGACGAGGCCACGCCTCCCACCACGCTCTATGGGCGAAATATAGAAGCAGTGGCTCAATACATCAAAGAGAAGGACATCAAGAACATTGTCGTCATGGTAAGAGCCCCTCCGACCCTTTGATGCTCGAGATCTGACCGTCTCCAAGACTGGCGCGGGAATCAGCACATCGGCTGGAATACCTGACTTCCGTTCTCCTGATACTGGGCTGTATGCCAATCTGGCTCGGCTGAACCTCCCATATGCAGAAGCAGTCTTCGACATCTCATACTTTCGAAACAACCCGTACCCGTTTTATACCCTGGCGAATGAACTGTATCCAGGCAAATACCGGCCGACGGTGACACACGCATTCATTAGTTTGCTTCATAAGAAAGGGCGACTGCTGAAACTGTTTACTCAAAACATCGACTGTCTCGAGCGGGAAGCTGGGGTTCCTGGCGAAAAGATTGTGGAAGCACACGGATCATTCGCTACTCAGAGGTGCATTGAATGCAAGACCGAGTTTCCTGGTGATCGTATGAAAGAGATGGTCCAGAAAATGGAGGTACCGCGCTGCATCAGGTCGACATGCACCGGACTGGTGAAGCCCGATATCGTTTTCTTTGGCGAGGCTCTTCCAGAGTCATTCCACCGCAACCGAAGCCTGCCCGCGAAAGCAGATTTGGCAATTGTCATGGGGACCAGTCTGACGGTTCAGCCATTCGCTAGCTTACCGTCGTTTGTCAGAGAAGGTACACCGCGCGTGCTTATCAACCTAGAGAGAGTGGGATCCATCGGTTCACGGCCGGACGACGTGCTGCTGCTTGGGGACTGTGATGAGGGTGTTCGCAGGTTTGCCGACGCTCTGGGCTGGCGTGATGAG